CATACCCTTATTCTTCCTGCGGCCTGGTCTACACCTACAACTTAGGTTGGCCTAGGTACAACGCTCAGCTCTGTGAAAACTTTCACACCCTGTGTGACGTAGCTAGACGGATCTAACCCCTGATGTAGACGCAAATAGGTCAATGGAGGAATTCATCTGTCGATCTAACAGCTGCCTCTGCCAGAGACGTAGTGTAAACACACCCTTAGACTGTGATCCGGAAAAGCCAGCACTGTAGTGGGGAAGCCACCTAAGCCAGCCAATGGGAGACGCCAATGAAAGGGGCAAGTGCTAAGGCCTCCCTGCACAGAGGTAGACACCTGCTTAGCTGCACACCCCATGGCTGGAGGAGGATGTGAGGTTCATGTCACGTCACCTCCCTTATTGTAGTACACCACTGGGATGACTAGAGTTACGGATGAGACCAGCTTTCTGTTTAAAACTTGACTATTGTAAGTGCACTAAGATCAACACTGTCCCTCAGTTTGCCTGAACGTTTCATGTGCCCTGGGGAGGAGCATGGTCGGGCTGGGGGCCAAATTGGAGGTCAGTTGATGAAGGGTTCCCAAGATACGTCTCCCTGGTAAAACAGCTTCTCTAAAAGTGGATGGCTTCTACTAACATTTCTGTTCTCTGATAGAGAAAATCCCAGGGTGGAGCGTTTTGCTTCAACGTCTCACTGGAGGGTTACCCTTAGAGAGTGTCTGGGACCAGGGTTGCCAAGTGCTGAAAATATTTGTTTTGGACGGTATAGAAAAAAATTATGGACAACCAAACTTTTTTACGCACACGTTCTTATGTAATATAAAGATGGCTCAAAAGGACAAAAGAGAACAATATTCAGTGGTTTTATTCCTACATCACAATAGCAATGTTATTCTGCTAGTTGAACCTACTTACTAGCCACATCAGTGTCCTCCAAGTTCTCCAGTTTGTGATCATACACCCACATGCCCGTTCATGAGCTAGCATCCCCTCTTGTTGCTTTTCAAAAACACCTGAGCCCATGAAGCAGTATGGCAGGTAGGACAGTCCCACGGTGGGCGGGGAAACAGCCACGGCCCAACTGCTGCTGGGGTGGCGGGTGAGCTGAACAGGGGTCGGGACGGGGCAGAACTGGCCACGCCAGCCAAAGCACAATCATATTTCCTATTCCAGCAATGCACTTACTGAGTTACTCTGAGAACTCTGACTCCTGGACTCCACTACCCCTCCCTCCAGTGGGAAAAGTTCTGAGCTGTCTCTCCAGAAGTCTCAGCTGCAGGAATTCACTCACTGGCTGCTGACCAGTCCCCTCCATCTCACTGATCAGCTGACTGGCACAGGGTATTTACTGGAAAATTTGCTTTGTAAGACACAAGTTTCTGACTTTCAGCTTCTGTCTCTGCCTGTAACATAGGACCAGGGAGAGAGCAGGGCAGGGACATGGACAGACTCCAGGGATAATTGATAGACACTTGCATCCATAGGACAGATCAGATCATTGTAAGCCCTCGGGCTTCCTGAGAATTTGCCTTCAGTTCAGTGGGAGATTCCCCCGTCACTTGCTGTTCCTGCAGCACTTCCAACCCTGGACACGCAAAGCAGCTGAAGCTTGAGCCCCGTTATGTGGGGCTGACAGCCGGAGCCATGTGTGTGGGGCTGAAGACGAAGCCCTGTTGTGTAGAGATGAAGTCACGGAGGTCAAATAAAATCACATTATCCATGACCTCCGTGTTCCACTCGTACCCGTGGTTATCATAATATTTTTTGTGATCTCGTGACCCCCCCACACACACACAATAGCCTTGCAATCCCCTTTTGGATCAGGACCCTCCAGTTTGCAAAACACTGGCTTAGAGGTTAGCACACTCTCCTGAGTAGTGGGGGCTCTTGTTCAAATACTTCCTCCCACCCCCGGCAGGCAGTGGGAGCATAGGCGCTGACTGTTATTTTTCCCAGGGGGTGCTCCACCCCCACTCTGCCCTGATGCCACACCCCCACTATGCCCCTCCCCTGAGGCCCCACCCTTGCTCCGCCTCTTCCCGACCCCACTCCACCTCCTCCCCTATGTCCTTGCCCTCTGTCTGCCTCTTCCCGCCCCTGCTCCAACCCCTCCCCGAAGCCACAGCCAATCTGCAGCTCGCTGCTTTCCACCCTCCTCCAGGCACCTCCCCATGCCTCCAAATAGCTCATTGGCAGCCCCGCAGAATAGCTATACCTGGTGGGTGCTGAGCACCCCCTATATTTGTTCCATGGGTGTTTGAGCTCCGGAGCACCCATGGGGTCAGCACCTCTGCTGCTTACAATCATGGGACCGAGCAGTGACCAAGTATAAACAGCGACTTCCAATGAGACTTAGCCCACGAGCTGCTGTTAATGGGCAAGTCAGTAAGGCCTAAATTTACAGCAGTGGCCTAATTGTGGGTGTCTCGTTTATCTCCTCGAAATACAGGACTTCAGGGCACGTGTTCCACCTGCATTCGCAGCTGCAGCCGGAGTCAGTGGGCGCTGCGGGTGCCCAGCCCCTTGGAGAACCAGCCCCTCAGCACTTAGGTCAGGACCCAAATTTGGACTCTACATCAAAAGACATTCTTGACATTTGGACCCAGCCCATCATTGTGCTCTGGCTCCTGTGCCAGCTAGCATGGCTGTTTGTGCCTCCTCCCCAGCAGCTGCAGGCACAGGGAGTGCTCCTGGGAGGGGTGGGAGGGAGTGGGGTTGGGGCACGGACAGGCTGGAGGAGGAAGGGATGGAAAGGGATAGAAGGATTTGGCCAGGGTGAAGCTGCACCTCTTGTACTCTGCACCCTGGCAAAGCCCCTTAGGGCCATTAAACCAGGGATGCAGCTCTGGCTGGAGCTTGGGACTTGCCTAGCTGCTGTTAAGGTCTGCACTGGCCCTTGCAGCCACTGATAGGGGCCTGTTGAACCAGCCCTTTCCCTGCCTCAGTTTCCCCATCTATACAATGCCTGTGTGTCTCTTCACATTACAGTCTATGGAGGACAAGAGCCCCATGGTGCTGAGCTCTGAGCAGACACTGAGGAAATAGACCCAAAAAGCTTACGATTCAGTGTCCCGATCCTGAAAGGTCTCAGCGTCCCAGTGATGCCAAAGGGACCGAAATGGGTAAAGTTACAGTCGCTATTTACTGAGAAAGGGGCAGATCACAAAAATGCCCCCCCAGCTGTCTGACTGAATGTCTCTAAGTAACCGGCTGCACACGGTACGTCTGACAGCCAGGGGAGAGAAATTACAGGTACTGTATGTATCATTCCAGTCTTTTTCCTTTCCGCAACCCTGTACCAAAGCACTGAATCTGCTCTGCTCTGCAATGCTGAGTGAAGACCCAGGTACCTGAGACAGCAGCAGGAGAAAGGTGTTTGAACGATGCCTGCAAATCTCAAGCCGCGCGGAGACCAGGAAAAGAGCAGCACTTCACTCTGCTGAGCTGCAACGTCTCTATTAACCACGTTGTTAAACTGCTGCAACACTGGACCCGGGTAACTAGCTGCATCCGCATCTCTGCACAACATGGCTTCCCCACCACAGCTGAATTCCCTCTCCTTGTCCCTGATGGCGGCTTCCCAGACTGCCCCAGGCCTCCTCAGTCTGTCCCCACATCCCCTCCTGCAGCCGCAATGGGCAAGTGGCCTGAGAGGTCTCTGTTTATCCCACACCATGTGCCCTGCAGGCCCCTAGTCTGAGCTCCCCTCACAGCAGCTGCCCTCAGCCGTTGGGCCCCAGCCAGGGCCAGTGCAAGGATATTTTGTGCCCTAGGTGAAACTTCCACCTTGTGCCCCACCTCCCTCCAGAGCAATTTTCCCCTGGAGGGAAAAATTTGTGGGTGCAGAGCCCCTGACCTGCCCCCTCACCCCAGCTCCCCTCCGCTTCCACCTCCTCCCCTGAGCACGCTGCCGCATCCTGCTTCTCCCCCCTCCCTCCCAGCGCTTGCACTGTGAAACAGCTGTTCACACGGCAAGCCTGGGAGGGAGTGGGGGAGGAGGAGGAACGCAGCATGCTGGGGGAAGATGTGGGGCCAGTGCGGGGAATTGGGGAGGGATCCAATGGGGCAGGGAGGGGGCGGAGTAAAAAAATTTGGGGCACCGCTTTTTGGCACCCCCAAATCTTGGCATGCTAGGCAGCAGCCTAGTTCACCTAGTGGTTGCACTGGCCCTGGTCCCTCACCTGGGGGACAGGATCTTGGTTTCTGTGCAGTCCCGGCCTCTCTGCTGGGACTGACAAATGGGTGCAGGCCTTGCTGGGTGTGGTTGTGTTACAGGGTCACCTGCCCCCTAGGGCCCAGGCTGAGATCCCAGCACATTCCACAGGCCCCTGAGCCGCCATCAGATGGACTTTCAGCCTCTGTCCCTCTGGTGGTGGGGGAGGCACTGGGTCATTGCCCTGGGGAGCTGCTTGGGGAGGGAGGAGACTTACCTGCTCACAGACAATTTTAACAGTTCTAAAGCTTCAATTTTTTGAATCTCAGTGTCTAGTGTCATTAAATAGTTCTGGTCTGACCAAAATATTGTCTGATTCCCCCCATAATTTCCCACAACTGTGAAAATTTTAATTGGAATGAAATGCTTAAATAATTGTCATGCAACTGTGAAAGTTTAAATCAATAAATATAAAAATTGTTTAAAATAAACATTATCTGTCAAAATTATATATCATAAAAAAAAAAATCTGCCAAGCCTGACTATCACTCCTGACACACAGCTCCTGCTTCTGCAGGCTCATCCTCATAGGCGGCAGACTCAGGGACCCTGCACACCAGCACAGGGGCTGATTGCAGGCAGGAGCCCTTTGGGGTTTTAATTACAGGCTAATTTCACTGAAAGTTACCTGTCACAGGTGTGACTTCACATTTTTTTCACTAAAGCCTCCAGGGGTGAAATTGGTTGGGTCCTTCCTGCTCAGCAAACAGCATGAGTCATTTTCAGGAAAGGAAACACCCCCTTGCTGCTGCAGGCGGGGCATTGTGTGAATTCAGGAATTTGAAACAAAGACTGTTACAAACTGCCCAGAGGGAGCCATGGCTGCAGAGAACCCCGTGGAAAGTCTCCAGGAGGAAGCGACATGTCCCGTCTGTCTGGAGTATTTCACAGAACCTGTCACTCTGGAGTGTGGGCACAATTTCTGCCGAGCCTGCATCAGCCAGTGCTGGGAGGGATCCGATACAGCCGCCTCCTGTCCTCAGTGCAGAGAAACTGTGCAACAGAGAAACCTCAGGCCCAACAGGCAGCTGGCAAACATGGTAGAAATCACCAAGCGGCTGAGTTTACAGGCAGCAAAGGGAGCAGGAGGGGATGGGGTGTGTGGGGAACACCAGGAGGCTATGAAACTGTTCTGTGAAGAGGATCAAACCCCCATCTGTGTGATCTGCAGAGAGTCCCGGGCTCACCACGCTCACACGGTGGTTCCCATACAGGAGGCTGCCCAGGAGTACAAGGTAGGGAACTGCTGTCAGATTTAATGGTTTATCTTTTGGGTTTTAATTACAGGCTAATTTCACTGAAAGTTACCTGTCACGGGTGTGACTCTTCATCCAGCTCTGTAAAGTCTTCATTCGACAGGAGATGCTGTAACAAAATTAATGATCTGGCCAGGGCCGGCTCCAGCATTTCTGCCGCCCCAAGCAAAAAAAAAAAAAAATAGCCGCGATTGCAATCGCGACCGGCAGCGGCAATTGGGAAAAAAAAGCCACGATCGGCGGCGGCAGTTCAGCAGCAGGTCCTTCGCTCCTAGAGGGAGTGAGGGACCTGCCGCCCCCAAATTGCCGCAGGTGCCACCCCTCTCCCTTGGCCGCCCCAAGCACCTGCTTGTTAAGCTGGTGCCTGGAGCCGGCCCTGGATCTGGCAGTGTGGCAACAGAGGCAAAATATCAAGTCTTGACAGCAGGATCTACCCCACCCCTTCCCCGAGGCCCCTCCCTTTCCCCACCCCCGAAATCCCTACTCGCTCTATACCCCCCTCTCCATTGCTCACTTTCACTGGTCTGGGGTGGGGGTGCAGTCTCCAAGCTGTGGCCAAGGGGTTTGCAGTGTGGGAGGGGACTCTGGGCTGGGGCAGGAGGGGATCTGGGGTGCTAGCTCCAGCCGGGCGGCACTGACTCACCTCAGGCAGCTCACGGTCGGCAGTGCAGCCGGCCTAATTAAGGCTCCCTGCCTGCCCCAATACTATGTGCCACTCTCAGAGGGGCAATGTGCCCTTGTGGCCCCTGGGGGAGGAATGTAGCTCTGCATACTGCCCCTCTCTACAGGCACCACTCCTGCAGCTCCCATTGGCCACAGTTCCCCATTCCTGGCCAATGGGAGCTGCGGGGGCGGTGCTTGCAGGCAGAAGCCATGAGCAGAGAACCCTGCCTCACCCCAGGCTGCGGGGGCATGCTGGCTGCTTCTGGGGGTGCCGTACGGCTGGGGCAGGCAGGGAGCCTTAGCAGTAGTGGGCAAACCCGCTGCGCCGCCGGAGATCGTGATCGACTGGGAGTGTCTCCAGGATCGACTAGTCAATCACAATCGACCGGTAGGTGACCACTGGTCTAGGTAGACCGAAGATGGGAAGGGAAACTGAGGCACAAAGCAAGGCAGCAAGTTGCCCACAGTCACCCAGCCTGTCAGTGACAGAGCTTAGCATAGAACCCAGATCTCCCCACTCCCAGTCCAAGATGCGAACCACTTTGCCATGCTGCCATCTTAGCATCAGCCCCACCGAGTGATGAAGTGTGTCCATTAGGAGAGAGAGAAGCCTTGATAAAGGTCCCAGACCCACCAGGGAGAGGTGGTTTCTCACTGGGATTCTGAACTCCTGTGTTGCTCCATGAGGGATTAAACTCAGATGCCGGCCTGCACTAGAGGAGATCACTCAGCTAAACACTGTATGAGACCCCGAGCACCTTCAGTCCGCACACAAAAGGGCTCCAGACAGCTCAGGTCCATGCCAAGTACCACTGGGATTAGACTGGATTGTAGCAAAACTAACCATAGGCTGGAGCTGACCGGTGCCAGTCTGACCTGTTCCATTGTGTACATGGGCAAGGAGCAGCCAAAGTGATTCCTTTAGTCCCACGAGGCAGCCTTTTGAAATCTCCCAGAATGCACTGCTTCCAGGATCTTTACCAGGGAATGGAACTCTGGGTACCTGCCCAGGGGGCATTGCCACAGAAAGGGTTTAGGACAGCACTGGGGCAAACCCCAAGCCGTTCTTTATACACATCTGCATCATGTCTAATTAGGGTGATCACTGAGGCATCCACAGAACATGCCTGGGCCCGTCCTCACCAGTATCAGTCGATCTGTGTGGGCCCCCCACTGCTTTTTTCAGCGTGCCACCCACCTGCATCATTCTGCATGAAGGTGCCACCCCAGCCCCACCCCCACCCTCACGGGTGTCATAGAATCATGGAATATGAGGGTTGGAAGGGACCTCAAGAGGTCATCTAGTCCAACCCCCTGCTCAAAGCAGGACCAATTCCCAACTAAAGCATCCCAGCCAGGGCTTTGTCAAGCCTGACCTTAAAAACCTCTAAGGAAGGAGATTCCACCACCTCCCTAGGTAACCCATTCCCGTGCTTCACCACCCTCCTAGTGAAAAAGTTGTTCCTAATATCCAACCTAAACCTCCCCCACTGCAACTTGAGACCATTACTCCTTGTTCTGTCATCTGGTACCACTGAGAACAGTCTAGATCCATCCTCTTTGGAACCCCCTTTCAGGTAATTGAAAGCAGCTATCAAATCCCCCCTCATTCTTCTCTTCTGCAGACTAAACAATCCCAGTTCCCTCAGCCTCTCCTCATAAGTCATGTGCTCCAGCCCCCTAATCATTTTCGTTTCCCTCCGCTGGACTCTTTCCAATTTTTCCACATCCTTCTTGTAGTGTGGGGCCCAAAACTGGACACAGTACTCCAGATGAGGCCTCACCAATGTCGAATAGAGGGGGAATGATCACGTCCCTCAATCTGCTGGCAATGCCCCTACTTGTACAGCCCAAAATGCCGTTAGCTTTCTTGGCAACAAGGGCACACTGTTGACTCATATCCAGTTTCTCATCCACTGTAACCCCTAGGTCCTTTTTTGCAGAACTGCTTCCTAGCCATTCGGTCCCTAGTCTGTGACAGTGAATGGGATTCTTCCGTCCTAAGTGCAGGACTCTGCACTTGTCCTTGTTGAACCTCATCAGGTTTCTTTTGGCCCAATCCTCTAAGTTGTCTAGGTCCCTCTGTATCCTATCCCTACCCTCCGGCGTATCTACCATTCCTCCCAGTTTAGTGTCATCTGCAAACTTGCTGAGAGTGCAGTCCACGCCATCCTCCAGATCATTAATGAAGATATTGAACAAAACCGGTCCCAGGACTGACCCCTGGGGCACTCCGCTTGAAACCGGCTGCCAATTAGACATGTCACCATTGATCACTACCCATTGAGCCCGACGATCTAGCCAGCTTTCTATCCACCTTATAGTCCATTCATCCAGCCCATACTTCTTTAACTTGCTTGTCCTCCTGCATCCTCAGTCTCCTCCTCTCCCTTTTGCACCAGACAAAGCCACGTCCAGTGCCGAGTCCCTACGGGACTGGGATAGTGCTCCACAAAACTGGGACTGTGCAGCTTCAAACCAGACAAATGGCCTCCCAGTGTCTCATGGGGTTTGCCCTGGTGCGTAGACCAGCTCTGCCCAACCAGTGCAGTCCCCAGGGGTTCAGGGCTGAAATCCCAGCCCATATTGAAACCCTGGTGGTTTCTGGGATTTGTATCACTTGGTTTGTTAAACCTTCTACAAAACAGGTTTATTGATTCACCCCCATGTGACTCCAGTGCCCTGTTATGCTCTGTACCACTAATCAGTTCACAAACCAAAGCTTGGTTATAATTGAGATCTCTCTCTAATTACTAAAAAGACTGAACCGGAATTGGTAACAAGTCTAAATGTGACACGCACCCAGTCTCCATTAATGAGGTCTCATCTCCTTGGTGGCCCTGATGTCACAAAGCGATTAGAACCACAGTCATCTTGGGTTTGCAAAAACACCCACTTCCAAGCACCTCTCACCTATCCAGATGAAACCTCCCAAATCATTTCTCTTTCTTCAGGAAAGAATCCAGGCCCATTTGAAGACTCTGAGGGAAGAGAGAGAAAAACTGTTGGGAATGAAAGCGACTACAGAAGGGAAGAGAGAGAAGTATCTGGTAGGTGCCAGTTGTTATGAACCAGCAGAGACTGGCAGTGGGAGGTCTTTTTGGAAGCAGACTCCTGTGTGGTCTTGGAGACCGTGGGCTTGTGTGTGTTTCTCCATGATCATGAATTGCTGGGTTAGATTCATGTGTAGACAAGCCCTAAGCTTCCATTTCAGTTGATGAGTTCATGTCTAGCCCTTGTGGCTTTCACAGAAATCCCAAGTGAACTGAATGTCCCCGTGAAGTGCTGTCCACTGTGTCTGGTCATTTTGTGTGTTTTTAAAATTTTTGATTCTTTTAACTCCCCTGGCATCTCTGTCAGTGTAGTGCTGAGTCCTGCCTCCTGCTGCTCTGGGTCTGAATTTCCAGAGACCATAAATAACAGAAGATGCTGACCATGACAGGCATGGAAACATCCCTTTCAGAGGGATACAGCGGCCAAAGCGGAAGGCGTGAGAGAATCCCCTGCCTAGTACATACAGGATAGAGTCAAACGTCAGAAATCTAGGATTTTCAAAGAAATTCATCCTCCTGTATACTCAGCTCTCCAAGAAAGGACCCCAGGCTCCATCCATGTCCCTGACCAGCCCTTGCCCTATTTTCATACAGAAACAAACACAAACCGAGAGGCAGAAGATTGTGTCTGAATTTCAGCAACTGCGGCAGTTCCTGGAGGAACAAGAGCGACTCCTGCAGGCCCAGCTGGAGAAGCTGGATGAGGAGATTGTGAAGATACAGAATGAAAATGTCAGTAATCTCTCTGAGCAAATTTCCCGTCTCAGTGAGCTGATCAATGAGATGGAGGGGAAGTGTCAGAAGCCAGCAAGTGAATTCCTGCAGGTGAGACTGAATGAGAAACACAGGTGGGTGCTCCTGGCCAGCCAACCCCCCAGCTCAGTGCTGCCCACCCCGCAGCCCTGCCGATCAACTCCTCCCACTCCCTCCAGCACCACCAGCCTGCTGCGATCAGCTGTTCCACTGTGTGCAGGAGATGCTAGGAGGGAGTGGGAGAAGCGGGGGTGGAGTGTGCTCAGGAGAGGAGGCGGGAAAGAGGCAAGGTGGTGGTGAAGTGGGAGCGGAAGAGCTGAGCTGAGTTGTGTCATTGCGGGAAAGGGTGGAGTGGGGGTGAGGTTGAGCACCCCCAGGGACAATTGGAAAGCGGTGCCTGTCATTAGAAACATGCCAGATCCCCACACGGGGAAGGGAGGGCTCCTGAATCATAAGCACTGGAGTCCAGCAGTCGGAGACTATGGTGTAACTCGGCGTGTGCATTGCTGACATGTGAATAACTATTAT